ATATTTTTAGCAGAAATGGTGGCCGTTCTTCATTCTTGAAGAGGACCAAAATGACATCACTATGTTGGGGTCAAGGTAGGATGTGTCCAACTGTGCCTGATCAGACCAGTATAAACTCAGAAGGCTCTACCATGGGTCGGGCAGCAGAAATGGTATTATTTTTCTGTCAGAATCTTTTTCTGCTTCCATTTACATGTCATGTTATTTTTGCTTAAAGGTTTCTTAATGTTTGCCCTCATATAAATCTATCTTGATCATAAAGTATGATCCTTCTAATTTATTGCTGTAGCCTCTTTGCTGATATTCTATTTAATCTTTTTGTATGTTAGTCTATAGTTTTTAATCTTTTGTATCTATATTCATAGGGGTTGTTAGTCTACAGTTTCTTTTTTATTTTGTTTCATCCCTCCCTGACTTATGTATCAATATCATATTTGTATTATATAATGATACAATGATATCTACTTTGCATGTATCTTATACTTATCTTTTAGTATATATTTTGTAAAAGAATTGTTTTTTAAATGTTTAATTTATAGAATTAATTTGTAAATACATGTGGTCCTGGCATTTTTTTTGGTGGGGGAGCTCATTCATAGCTTAATTTCTTTTCCTGAAATTTAGTTATTTAAATTTTCTATTTCTTGTTCAATTCATCTGGATTATTATTATTTTGTCTCTCTATCTCTGTCCCTGTCTGTCTCTCTCTCTGTCTCTCTCTCTCTTTCTCTTTCTCTCCTTGTTTGTCTGTCTATCTTTCTCTGTCTCTGTCTCTGTCTCTGTCTCTCTGTCTTTCTCTTTAGTTTTAGAAAGAAATTTCTTTATTTATCATTTGGTAAAGGAGAAAGGCAGAAGGTATGACTCCCTTGATGGGCTAGGCTCTTAACCTCTCCATTTCTTTGTTTCTTCATCTATAGAAGCTAACATACTAAGATATGTGCATATATATAAGTCGTCCCAAAAGTTTCAGAACAGTTTAAAGTTTTTAACAGCAGAAAACTATGCAAAGACTTTTTGGGACACTGCACGTATGAATCAACTCTTCTGAAATGGAAATGGATCTATGATTCTAAAAGATTATTTTAATTGTGAGTAAACTAAGGTCCAGAAAAGGGAATTGATTCACCAGAGATCACACAGGGATCCCCAGCACCGCCTGGTTTTGAGACATGGTGCTATAGATAGCTATGGCAGATTTCTCTGGAATCAAAGGACATGGGTTTGAATGCTTCTTTTGATGCTTCCTCCGTTTGTGACTTTGGGAAAATCACTTGCCCCAGCATTCATTTCCTTTTGTGTAAAATGAAAGGGGAAGGAATAAATGGTTTCTGAGGTCTCTTATGGTTTCAAATATTTGATCTGAGAATTTTAATTCAGGTTTTATGAATTCAAACATAGAGTTTTTCACATGAGAAGAAGAGGGAGGAGAAGATTTGGCAATGGAAGTAGTGGAGGAGAAGCCACATTTAAGAGTGAGGGAGTGAGGAAAGATTTGTTGGGGGAAGGATGCCACCTTGATGCCACTGGATGAATTGAGGACTGGAATAGACTTTTAAGGTCTTCTATCTGTAAAACATCTCTGTTTTACAGATAAGGACACTGAGGCACAGAGAGGAGAAATTACTTGCTCCACTTAAGAAGGGAAGCTCCAGGGAAGAAGGAACAAAGCCAGGATCTCATCTCAGGCCCTTCTTTGACCCCACTGTCCCTGCCTTCAGGCAAAGGAAGGCACTCAACCATGTCCCTGCTGTTTTCCTCCTTCCCCTGCCCATGATTCTGCTAGGGCACAGAGCAGTCTGAGCTCGGTGCCAGGAAGCCCCTGGGCCCTGGTCAGAGTATGCAGGGTCTATGCCCTCACACATATTCTAAGAACTGCCTGGTCCCTTTCTTGTCACTTTCTTGAGAGCCAAAGACTTGGATTTTGAGGAGAACAGGAGAAGCATTCGTCCCTCCTTCCTTGCATAGAAAGGAAAGAGTGGTCCCTACAGGGAACATTACCAATTATGCAGCAGGACAGGAACTGTTGTCAAGAACAATTAATTGCTACAGCTCCCATGTGCCTGCCTCTTTCTCCACAATTCAAAAGGAAAAAAGTGATTTTACCCACCTTCTAGAGATAGGTAAAAGACACCAGAAATGGAAATGATCAAGATGGAGAAGACAGGCAAGGAGACCACTTTGGAGAGGAGATTGGTAATTTCAAGTTTCAAATTGGTGAACTTTTTGTATCAGTTATGTCAAGTAAATTTTCATAATTTGGTTACCACTAAAATAATTTAGCTATTGTTGGCTATTGTTTTAATGTGTAAACTTGACAAAAAGCTTGTTTGGGTTATGGCTTGCTGAGAATTTTCAAGTGTATAGAAATCTCTTAACGATTGGCTTTTTACACCAGGACAAATTTAAGTTTGAGTTGTAAATCCTGGAAGTTTTTCCTAAGCTGTGATTAGTGAAACTTGCTGTATGAGGTAAAAGCTCATAGGATTTTATTTTGAGTTGTCTGATGGATCATAATAATCCATCAATAATCCTGAGGCAGCTAGGTGGCACAGTGAATAGAGCACTGGCCCTAGATTCAGGAGGACCTGAGTTCAAATCTGGCCTCAGACGAAACACTTGACACTTACTAGCTGTGTGACCCTGGGCAAGGCACTTAACCCCAATTGCCTAAAAATAAAAAATAAAAATAAAAATAATTTAAAAAATAATTAATAATCAATAATCCACCATCTGAGAGAAATGCCACAAGCTATTCAGAGAATGTGATACTGGTGGGAAGTCAGCATCAGGGAAAAGCTGAGAGGACAATTTTAGCCTCAGTCTAAGATGGGATCCTCCTGGCTCAGTTTCCCCATTATGTTCCTTTGAAAAGGAATGTTACCCACCTGGCTATGAGCTGGATTTGATACTGCATGGTTGGAAAACTGAATTATCTGAATCCAAACAGAGCTAAGAATGTTTTATCCTGTCATATCTGGGCCCTGCAGTCTTTTCTGTCAGATTTGTGTCTTCCAGACTATAGGCCATTCACCTACAGTTGGTAGCAAGCAGCAAGTACCAACCAATGTTTCCCCATTGTTCCCTAGATGTGGCTTGTGCTAGGTTCCAGTCAACCTCCTCTTTGGGACCCCCTCGAGGCAGGGACAGCTGTATGCTCCTTCCCAGCAGGAAACAGTTTCAGAAGCCAAGACCTTCACCCCTTACCCCAAAAGAATTTGGGTCCCATTTGTTTGAGGGGGGAATGATGAGGATGGGATCTAGACCCCCCCCCCCCAAAAAGAAAAACCCTAGACTTTCCCACATGGCCAAATCTCAGGCTATAATCCCATCAACTGGCCTTTCATTATGGCTATATCCATCTCCCAATTCTGTTACCCTTAACCTAGCCTAGCCCTCCATTGTCTTACCTCCCTATGGCCCCAAGCTACTTCCCACCCTTAATCCTATCTAGGCTCCATTCTCCCTTGGCCACTGTGGTCCAAGTCTCTGGAGTTCTATTACCTCATAGACTACTTCGCCACTCCTAGACCTCCTCTCCTGTGGTCTTTCTGTATATAAGGTGCATCTTGTCTCCATTATGATGCTTAGATTCTTAAAATCTAGCCAAAGCTTCAGATTCTTATAATCTAGCCAATAGCTCACTAATGTTCAGACTCCTTAAGATTCTGCCTGATGAGGTCTAGAGGTTAGGGGTCCTGGAATCCCAAAATCATGACACGCGAGTCCTGCCCAAAAGAATTCGACCCAAGTCTTCTTGCAGCCAAAAACAAGGTTTATTGAAGATTCGCCATATTAGCAAGACTTTTAAGGAATCTGAGCATCCCTTTGGGAGGGATCTAGGAGTGACCAAGTAGTTTGGGATGTGGGGAGGAAGGGCCTAAGGAGATCTGAATGGGAGTGGCCAGTACACTGGGGTGAACAGAACTCCTGGGACCTGGACAATGAAGCCTAGCTGGGGTTAAGTGTGGGAAATGGCCAGGGGCCATAGGGAGGTAAGACAATGTAGGGGAGATTGGGTGTAGCCGCAGTGAAAGGCCACTTGATGGGATTATAGCCTCAGGTGAATGCCAGAGATTTGGCCATGTGGGAAAATCCAGGGTTTTTACTTTCTGGGGCCCAGATCTCAACGCCATCCCTCAAATGAATGCTAGAGATTTGACTGTGTGGGAAAATCCAGCGTTTTTCCTTTCTGGGGCCCAGATCCCAACCCCATCATGTCCAATATGACAGATGTTGTAATAAACCTTGTCTTTGGCTAAAAAAAAAAAGAATGAGAGAACTTTGAGCATTTGAAGGCAGTATGGGAGGAAGCCCAGGAGAAAAGGAGTCGAAGAATACTGAGAAAGTGTGTTTACGGAATAGGAGTCATTGAATGGTGATCTGTAGAAGGAGCATAGATTTAGAGATAGGCATCTCCATGTGGTGATTAGTTTTTCTGAAGTGCTTTCTTCCTCTCTTTTTAATTCTTTGTTCTAAGGAAAGACTCTGGAAGGGGAGATAAGAAGGAAGCTTGAATTCCCCACTTTCCAGTCAAGTTCTCCAGTCCCTCCTTGGGTGTGATCAAAGCTGTCCAATCTTGTTTGATGCATTGGGTTTCCCTTAGGGAATGTCCAAGCCTGTCTGGGTGATGAGTCTTCCTCCAGCAGGGGCATATAATTACAATCCTGTTATGGTCCACATGGAACCTTCCTTCATAGCCCAATCCCCCAGGGTAGTGTATCTGAGGGAAGGGAAAGGAGGATTGTTAGGAGAGGAAGAGAGAGAAGGAAGAGGAGATGGAGGGAAGGATCAGGACAAGAAGAGAGGCAAAAGGTGGAAAAGATACGTGAAGTTGAGGAAAAGGAGGAGAGGAGATGTAGGCTTAGATCCTTCAGTTTCTTTCCCAGAAAAAATGCCGTCATCTCTTCTTTCATTGGCTGTCATGAGATCAGAGAAATCAGGTGGAGTAGAGAGGGAGGGACACATTAGAATTGAGAGCTGTAGATGATGGAAACACAAGATATATCAATAAATTTATTTTGACCTCCAGAGTTCTAAGTAGTCCAAGACACTTTTATTTTTGCAACAAATCTATTTTCCCATGGATTAATGTCAAGTTATTCATCCTGCTCAGACTCTTTCTTCTGTTAGTTCGGCCACATACTTCTGGACCCACTCTTCTTGGGGGTTGGCACAGATCATACGACCCTTCTTGGTGGTGAAGCTAAAACATGAGAAGCAGGATATAAAGGGTGAAGATTCCAACCCCAGGCTTCCCCTCCCCCAGGTTGCCCTTCAGTCTTTTGGCTTTCCATTATTATCCTCCCCATGCTATTGAAACTGAGGGCCACCATATCCATGCAGAATCTCAAGACTGTTGCTCAATGCCTGTGTCTGCCCCCTCAGTGCCTCCCTGGGGGTCTCCTCAGGAAGCCCCATGGGCTGCCCTTCTTTCTCACTCACCCTTTACCCTCCCATTGCATCTGAGTAGCAGTTGAGGGAGAAAGAATATGAAATTTGGAGTTAGAGGACATGGGTTCAAATCCAGTGTTTTCTCCTCCCTTATTCTTACTATCATTATGGTTTTAGGCAAATATCTTTTCTGTGTCTCAGCTTCTTCTTCTTTAAGAAAGGAAGGCAGTTAGATAAGGGGGCCCTTATGGTCCAGTCTAGCTCTAAACTTATAATCACTTCATCCTGCCCATTGCCCTTGCAGGGCAGAGACTTCTCTCTTCTCTCCCTCTCCCTGTGCCCAGACAGAGCATGAGCCCCCAAACTTCTGGAAACAACGTATGCAGCATGTCTTTTTTGGGGGGGGAGGGGAGTAAGCCCTGGCTTTCTCTCCTCTTAAATATTTTCTTCACTTATGAGGGGCACAAAGGTGTGAGACCCACTGTGCTGCAGCCTCAGCCATCCATCCAGCTTCCCTGAAGGGCTGCTTCTGGTCGCTAAGCCCTTCCTGCTCCTGCCCTCTCTCTCCTGGTTTCCTTCTCGTGCACACCCAAAGGTGGTCCGTGGACCTGTTTACTCACACGACCCCTGGAATAGAACAGTGCTTGGTTGTGTAAACATAGTCCACCACAAACTGCCTGGGAACCTTCCTGGTAACGTATGCGAAGCAGCAGCTAATTGGGGAGGCATCTGCGGAGAAAGGGGCAGAATGACGACCAGGCACAGTGAATCTGGGCAGCCTCACCTGATTTGCCTGGTCCTAGGGAGGCTGGTGAAGAAAGAGATGACCCAATGTTTCTGGAGGAATCT